ATTTAGAGAAGATAAATTTGGGAGTACTTTCATAATGTTGGAAATCTTAATGCCAGTTTTCCCCTCCACCTTAAGGGTCACTCTGCACCATTATATTTTGCAAAAAGGGAAAAGCTTAGATTCAACCATGAGTAGTTTAGTTGGCGTCAGGATAGTGTGCGGTGGGCTTTGTCATGTCAATTCCAGAAGATGCACACAGGGCGGTTATTGGTCCACTGGAGTCCAATCTTTTTTAAGGACTTCTTGCCAGGATGATTTATGCAGATACACTTGTTATTCTTTTAAGTGTCCATGAGGTACCTGTTGGAAAATAAACACACACACACACACACACACACACACCTATATGCATCTCCCAAGGACCAATATAAATTCTCAGAAATAATACGTACCAAACACATAAAAAGGAAGAAAATCCTTTCCCTAATTGACTTATAATTTATAAGGTTTAATCTGTCCACAGTAAAATTGGCTCTTAATCGCTCCATCACTGACCCCTCAATGGCAACTTCCTTAGCTACATGAGCACCCCTCTTGTTTCAAACCTTTAAGCCAGTGTTAGTGAAAATATGCTTCTTTTCCTTCTCCTAATCTTTGGCTTGGTTGTACCTTTTGGCTCAACACCCACCAAGAGGTGAACCCAGTTTTTCAGGTAACATGTACAGTTTTCAACTTTATAAAAGGGGGTATCCTGCTGTATGTAACCTTTTGGACTTATCTTTCACTTATTATCATATTGATAAGATTTACCCATGTTGTTGTGTGGCATTGCAGTTCATAATTTTTTAATGGTGTGTTGTCGATCTTCCATAGTTTGTTAATCTACTTCACCACTGAGGGGCATTTGTGTTACCAGGGTTTTACTATTATGAACGGCACTGCTGACAACATGAAATACCGGAGAAGACATGGATCTGCAGGATCTCTTATAAATTCCTGGTAAGAATATAAATCGGGGTAATGACTTTGCTAATAGTTTGGCATTGCCTACTAAAGTTGAACACGCACGTACCCTAAGCACTCAGCAATTCAGTCCTAAGCACACACTCCACAGAAACTAGTGCAATGTGCAATAGAGATGTAGAAAAGAACAGCCAAAGCAGTGGGGCAATGTATTTGGGAAAAGTTCAGAACCTTCAAGCTCAGGGAATGGGGCTGGGCTGGGCTGGGGGTGGAAGAGCCCTGAGGTGGAGAGCAGCTGCCTTCAGAAACCCAGTCAGGCACTCACCCTCCACAGGATAACTCCTCCAGGCTTTACCCCTGAGGGAGAAGCAGCTTTAAGAGGGAGCTTGGATGCCATTCCTAGCCCCAAGAACTTGGAAATGGAGGAGTGGTGGGAAAGTAACTGCCTGAGGTCAGTTAGTCCCCACCTACCTTTCTCATCCTGACCTTTTAAACTGTGCTATTACTGTTGGGGACACCTGGAGCTGAGGTCCGAAGGCACTGGGTGCCCCAGGGCACTGGCGAGGGTGGAGCCAGGGCAGAGCCCGACCATATCCCCTCCTATTTTCTCCTTTCCACACTGAGCTGGACAGCCTCCTTCCTGGACCACCCTAGCCCCACAGTCAGACACCAAATTCAAAACACTCCCATCCAGGGAGGTCTGTTTCCTCCATTTTCTCACCATAGTTTCTTCAACCGCAGTCTCTGAGGGGAAGAAATCCACAGTTGTTCAGCATCTGGGTGGGATGTGTGGGTGTTTTCAAGTTGACACCTCGGAGCGCACTTCATCGTTTCCTGCCTAAGAGTAGATGTGTGTCTTATGTAGACAGGTTTCTTGTGGTTGCCATTCCATGATTACTTTCTTTTTAGAATTTTTTTAAAGACTTTTTTTTCTTTTTTCTTTTCTTCTGACAGCACAAGGGAACGATTTAAAACGCTGGGTGGGGCCTTCCCTGGTGGTCCAGTGGTTAAGACCCTACGCTTCCACTGTACGGAGCGCCAAGGGGGAGAAACACCAGGCTTAGTGGTAAAATGTTGAACACTTTCTCTTTGAGATGCAACTAGACAAGGGTGTCTACCATCACCAATTTTGGTGATGATCATATTAGATGTCCTAGCCAGTGGAGTAAAGCAAAAGAAAAAACAAGAGATATAGGGATGACAAAAGAATAAATAAAACTCTCATTATTCTCAGACGATGTAATTATATATGTACAAATCCAAAAGAATGGACAATTTTTGGACTTTGCAAGTGGGTTTAGCTAGTTTACTGAAATCAGTCAATTATGCAAAAATCAACTGAACTTCCAAACACCAAGAACAGTTGGAAAACAAAAATTTAAAAAGATGCAATTTACCGTGGCACCAAAATACATCAAATGCCTCTGAATAAACCTAACAAGATGTAGACTTGGAATTCAACAAGGCATAGATGCCTTATTTCAGAACAATGAGGAGAAAGTCTTGAATTTTCTTTTCTACTTTAGCTTGTTGTTCTGTCTTGGAAATAGAGCTTTCCCCTTGCTCTCCCTGAGGAGCACCCCTCCACCCTCTATTCACAGTGAGCCCAGGGTAAAGCCTCTATACCTGCTCACCTGTACTGCCCCAAAGGAGGTCTTCCCATTCAGTCAGATGAGTGCCAACCCTTCTCAGAAGGATGTTGGCAAGAAACTCAGTGTTCTTCAAGGCTTCACTAGAAAAGGCCACCTGGACTTCCCTGGTGGTCCAGTGGTTAAGAATCTGCCTTGCAATGAAGGGGATGCCAGTTCAATCCCTGGTCAGGGAACTAAGATCCCACATGCTGTGGGACAACTAAGCCTGCGCGCCGCAATGAAAGATGTTGCGTGCCACAACTAAGACCCGATGCAGCCAAAATAATAATGATAATAAATTCAAAATAAATAAATATATATATATTTTAAAAAAGGCCACCTGTGGTTGTTTCTTCAGTCCCCAAAAGTATGATTGGGATGGACATACTTGGCAGTTGGAGTCACCCCTAGAATGGGTCCCTGGCCTGTGGAGTAAAAACTGTTATAGTGGAGATGGCCCCATGGAAGCCTCTGAAACTTCCCTTCCACACACCTGCCCCCACTGTCTCCAACCAAGTTGATAAGTAAAAAACAATAGAACAGGGCTTCCCTGGTGGCGCAGTGGTTAAGAGTCTGCCTGCCAATGCAGGGGACACGGGTTCGAGCCCTGGTCCGGGAAGATCCCACATGCCGTGGAGCAACTAAGCCTGTGCGCCACAACTATTGAGCCTGCGCTCCAGAGTCCGTGAGCCACAACTACTGACGCCAGTGTGCCTAGAGCCTGTGCTCCGCAACAAGAGAAGCCACCGCAATGAGAAGCCCACGCACCACAACGAAAAGTAGCCCCTGCTTGCCCCAACTAGAGGAAGTCCATGTGCAGCAACGAAGACCCAATGCAGTCAAAAATAAACAAATAAAATAGATACACATTAAAGAAATAAAAAATGTTAATAAAAAAAGACAATAGAACATTCTGGGCCTTGATTAGCCACTCCTAAAAATCTAAAGCATGCAGGGGTCGCTGTCCTCCTTATCATCTCTTCTCTTAATTAGCCGACTTGGTTTCTACAAACTGGATGATAACTAGAATGGTGAATGGCTGCATAGCTAGTCAGGAGCCTGAAAGAATTAGAAGGTCTGTGGCAAAAGGAGATATTGGGCAGGGACATTTGCATGAATATATGGAATAAAGACCACATGTTAAGATTTTCTCTATCACATGTTAATGTCCACCAAAAAGCATCCACCCCAGAAGAGGCACTGAACAACCAAGAGGGCAAAATAACTTGGCCGGTTGACATCAGCCCAGCCTTTGACATTAGCCAGCTCACAAAAGGCATAATGGCACACGAGCAGAATGGCCACAGTGGCCGAGGTGGCAGCAGCTCCTTTTAAGGAGACAAGCACTTTCTGAGTACACGAGTGCCCACAGGAGTGCTGATCTGCGCTGTGAAAAGTCTGATTGTCCTGGAATTAATCTCGTTTCCTAGAGGCAAACCACAGAGACCTCTATATTCTCTCCTCTCCGCCAGCTCCTGGGAATCCATCTCAGCGCTATCCAGCTTGGATCCGCACTCAGTTATATGTTTAGGAGGAAAAACTATTTAATAATGAGACTTTGCATTTTGACAGCATTTTAACTTATGATGAACTCAGAAAGGAAGCTTTTTTACATTTAATTTATTTCTCAGCTCTCATGCAACAGCCCTAGCAAAATTACGATCTCTTCTCTACAGGACAGAAACCAACACACAAAACTTAATAACTGTTAGGAGGGCAATAAGATACCGGGAAGTCAAGGCTAAAAGTCACATTTCTTCCAGGTCAGTACGTGAGCCTCCAAGTGGATGTCTCATGGCACAAGCATTTTTTTTTTTTTTTTTTTGTGGTACGCGGACCTCTCCCTGCTGTGGCCTCTCCCTCTGCGGAGCACAGGCTCCGGACGCGCAGGCCCAGCGGCCATGGCTCACGGGCCCAGCTGCTCCGCGGCATGCGGGATCCTCCCGGACCGGGGCATGAACCCCTCGTCCCCTGCATCGGCAAGCGGACCCCCAACCACTGCGCCACCAGGGAAGCCCAGCACCAGGACTTTTAAGGAAGAGATTCTTGAGGTTCTGGGTTTCCTCACTTCCCTTTGCCAATCTCTGGTTAGAAATGTGTGTATCTCTATGTGTCAGGGGTTGTGCAAAGGTGATAAGCTGGATGAGAAGAGGAAGATGATTGGTGGAAAAATTTTTCACCTAACAGGTAAGTGACTTGCCAAGGTGACAGTCTGAGTAGTCAGAGCTGAGGTCTCCCAACAGCATGTTTAGGAGTGTTTCTAGATGTACTCCTTGTTTGGCCTCTTCACCTCCACCCTTGTCCCCACAGGACCATGATTAACCTAGTTCCCCAACAAAAGTCCAAATTATTCATTCACTTCTTCACATTTGCTGTATGTGATTTTTTTCTAAGTGGCGTTGATTTTACTGCCCCAGTGTTCTCCACAAAGGAACGGTAAACATTTTTCTGGTCAAACTTTTTTTGGTTTACATCATCTTTTATTTTATTATAGTCCATAAATATATACAAATTAAATCATTAAAGAATTCATAGTCTCCAAAGTTCAGGAACCTACTACTGTACTTTGCTCTGTCGTGTCAAATATTAAAACATGAGACGTAAAACTTCCAACTTAATAAATATTCCATTTGAAGCTGAAATTGAGTAGAATAAATGAAGTACTTTCAGAAATCTCAAGTAAGGAATTAACAGGCTAGAGACTAAATCTTGACAGGGTTTGATTATCACTTGGATTATTCTTATTACTCATTTACTTTATTTATACCTCTGAATGGAATGCAGAGTCTTCCTTTGGCGGGTATAATAGAGCTTTAACAGAAGGGACACTTCCATTCATTCTGTGTAACTCCGGACATTTATCTTGCTGTAAAATGCTCGTCTCTCATGTCTTGAGCCTCTTACTGAGCAGTGAATGTTTATCTGTGCACAATCCATTTCTTTTTCGGCTGGGATTTTCTTTGGGGTCCGGGCTGCCGTCACTGAGCAATTCCGAGTGGGCTTCCTCAGGCATCTGCAAGACAGACATGGAAACTCCAGCAGGCAGCCTGCCTCTAACCCGCCCAGCCTCCAGGCTCCGCAGGGCTGACTCCACAGGCCAACAGGCAACACGGCACGTGGGAGAATACAACACAACACAACACAACGCAACACAACACAGCAATGCCCCTTGTTCCTCCCTAACTCTGATTACTACTATTTTCCACAGACATCTGAAATGTGATGTCAACCTAAAACCTGGGACTGCAAGCCAAAATTTCAGAAACGCGTGCTAACTTCAAAGTGGGATTTCTGGTGGGAACTCCTTTTTTTGTAAGCTCCTTTTCTTTCTTTCTTCTTCTTCTTTTTTTTTTTTTTAATGTATTTATTTATTTGGCTGCGCCGGCATGTGGGATCTAGTTCCCTGACCAAGTCCCTGTAAGCTCCTTTTCAATGCTTGCTTGGTCCTGACGGTTGTGATTCTGTCCCAGACTCAATAAGCCACTCTCAGACAGCAGAGAGGCAGTGATTTCTAGCATTGGTTTGTGTTTGCACCAAGAGACAGAAGCGTCCTGTTAGCAAATCACTTGCTCTCTCATTCAAAGGGCCTCATGTTTTTCACTCAGGAAAAGGACTTTGCTGACTACACTGGATGTGCAGGCGGGCTTGAGTGTTCCTTTATGCATCGAAGTCATAAACAAATAATTAATTATGCAACAAAGCCTCTCAAGTTTTTGCCTTTCTGTTTCCCGACCAAAGGAGCGCTTTCTCACACCCTGGGCAGCTCAGGGAGAGAATGGGGAAGCCCTCTGCTGGAAGCACATCAAATGCAGAAACTAGGCCACTCCATGCCAAATGGTTCCCAGGTCCCGCTGCCAGTCGAAGTTTCTTCTTTAGTTCACTTGAGGACCGAACTCTGACATTCTGGAGTCACACTGCTGATGCTTTTGCTGACTAAAGAGTGGTGTGTGGGACTTTGAGTCAGTGTCAGACATCCCTCAGAAAAACAGGAAGGAGCTTAGGACACCTGTTATCTCTCTATATATTTTGAAGGCCCTCTTTGCAAGCCTGAGGGGGTTTTTGGACTTTTTCTGGTGGGGGGCGGAGTATAGGAATGATCCTGTAAGAATGGTTCTTTGGCTTTATTCTTGTCAAGTGGTAAGGCACTTGCCTTAACTGTGCACTCAAAATTATAACAGTAAGCCAACTCTAGCAAAGGTGGGTTTTATTCTAGGGGTCACTGTACAATTTTTTTAAATTTGCACTCCTTTTTCTTAAATTCCCCCAATTTTAAACTTTTGCCCTAAATATTAAGTAACTGACTCTTACCTTGGTTCTGCACGGAGTATTCTCAGAGATCACACTCTCAGTTTTGGCTCCGACAGCTTCTTCTAAACCTATGTCAAGGAAGATACATCGGACAAGACAGAAGAACATAAAAGTCCTTAAAAAAAAAAAAACCACCCTACCCTATTTTGGTAACTAGAGGGACACCCTGAAAGAAAACTAGAGAGGTACATGTTTTTAAAAAGTGTCACTGTTACAATAGCTGCTTTTAAACTTTTATTGTAGCATTTCATCATTACAAGTGGCGCTGAGCCTATGTTAGCTCTGCCTCGTTCACTTTGTTAAAAAAGAATTCTTTAGCCACACCACTAAAAATGCTCAAGCTCTGAGCTGAATTTTAAGTAATAGTGACGGATTTGCCCCAACCTATAGTCTCTTCCACCTGTCCCTTCAAGGCACCAGAGGCATCTGGACTGTTGGCCAAGTTTGGGTGTCTTTTGGTCCAAAGACAGTGACCGTATTACGAATAACTTGGGGCTGACTCTCAACTTTCCAAATAATAATGATCTATTTTGTAGGCTGTACTGATTCCTGGCTTTGCCTTATCCCAACCCCAAGAGGCTGAGAGGGAGCAGAGAAATAGAATCTTAAAAATATAACTAAAAGCTCTAACATTTGACAGTGCTTTATGTTTTTCAATATGGTTTTACATTGTTATCTTACTTGTTAATCTCAATTTATGCTCATAACAGAAAAATAAATTAACCTAATTATTTAACAGAGGTAAACAAAGGATGAATTCCTATGACAGGCTATAATTCTGAATGACAAATATAAGTCTTCAAAAATTAAATTGTAATAAGTGAAATACAAAGTCAAATGATAACTATATAACTATATTAACCTATAACCTTTATATATATATATTTTTTTAAGATTTTTTGATATGGACCATTTTTAAAGTCTTTATTGAATTTGTTACAATATTCCTTCTGTTTTATGTTTTGGTTTTTTGGCCCTGAGCCATATGGGATCTTAGCTCCCTGACCAGGGATCGAACCTGTACCACCTACATTGGAAGGCGAAGTCTTAACCACTAGACTGCCAGGGAGCTTACAATTTTTATTAACAGCATTTCCCATATTTTCATAGTACAAAGCTCAAAGACTCTTACACTGCAGCATCTGTGGTGCATGGTACAACGAAGACATGCAATTATTTTTAAAAAGTGAAAATAAATGATATATAAGTGTATACAATCATTTCCACCCTCCTTCACTTCTGCCAGTGCAAGTTGCACTGTCATGTCTGACCAGAGTGTGGGTGAGGGCATCTTATTTAAAGATCTGTGGACAGACCTGTTAGAATCTCATCCAGCTGGTCCACCATAAACTGGGCATCTTCTTCAGTGAAGCACATAGGTGGTTTTATTTTAAGCACATTCCTGTAAGGTCCATCGGCACTGAGAAGCACTCGCTTTTCTTTCATCCTAATGAGTGCAGGAAATACATGTGAGTGCATACAAGTGATAACTAAGATTATTTCAGAAAGATGTGAACAGAGAGCGCTTTCATATTCGCATGCAAGCAGCCCACATTTGTAATTGCACGAGTCTTAAACTTGTCTCATTTGGGGAGATGAGAGGAAGTAAAAAAAAAGCATTCAAGCCAAGATACCAAACGGTGAGGGGTGTGTTTACTTGTAGATGATGTGCTGAGCTTCAGCTGTGGCGGGGGTCCTTTCCTGATGGTCCTTCACTAAGTCAATTCCAATAAAAAGGCCAACGCCCCTGAGGGGGGTAAAGAAAGGGAACTTGACACACTTTATTAAGCACTGCATGGTCACAAAAAATTAACACTGTCCTCAAACTTCAGTTTGATTTGAAGCTGAACGTGATTCTCTTTAAAGGGTAGTTGTTATTAGTTCTAATTAAGCCAAGATACCAATCTAGTGTCCACAGGACTTCCTAGTTTTTGAATCAAGTGAGTTTTTGTCAACCAGTTTTTCTTTCTTCTCTTAATTGTAAAAGAAAATAATAATAATAAGGCTTAAAAACAACCTTGTCATGCTATTTAACTTCTCAAGACATCAACTATGACAAATCTTTAATCTTTACGTATATATATGAAAATGTTTTCATATATATATGAAAAATAGTGAGTTTTCTTGGATGTCATTTTTAATATTTTTAATAGATCATTTAGAGTTACCTTAAGTTCCTTCTGTTCATCTTTTGCCTGCTGAAATGATCCTGGCTTAATTTTTTTCAAAAAAGTATAAAAATCAGGAAAGATATATACCCAAAAGTTAATAGTGATGATATCTGGGTTCTGGGTGGAAAAACGAGTTTTGTTTTTTGTTTTTTCAGTGTTTCTAGATCTGCTTTTGTGTTAACTTGTTTTAGATTTATAAGATAAAATATAACAAATTTTCATTTGGACAAATGAATAACTGCACCACAACTTTATGATAAATATACCTGATATCTCCTATCAAAGTATGTTTAGCCTTCTGCTTGTTCAGTAACTTGGTAAGATAGTTCCCTACTCTTGTGGCATTTCCCTGAAGGTCTTCATTTTCAATTACATCCAGGATGGCCAAACCAACAGCAGAGGACACAGGATTTCCTCCATACTGTGGAAAAACGATAAATGAGAAAATAGAAGAGTTGAATTTGTGGTATTGCTTCATCTATGAGAAATTTGGCTCATACATAAGCAAGTAAAGATATAATTTCAATAAAAATTTCCCCTGTGATATTAGTTTCTTAGATTTAGAATATAACATGATTCTATTCATTTAAGATTGAAAATAAAATTCTAAATTATATATAGCTGCAAAACTGGTATGAAGGATTATTGGGGAATTTATAAGTTCGTCCAAATGAAAAACAGACATTGTGTTGGGAATTAAGGATTTTAGAGTGTGGTTTAGTTAGGGGGATGTGGGTTTCAGTGCTTGAATATCTGTGTGAAAAAAGCTAAGCAATGACATTTTCTCAAAATAATTTATGTTCTTAGATTTGACTCTAACTTTTAGCTGTGACAAGTCCTATTATACATACTGCACAAACTAGAATAAACTTTCCAAGCTTAAAGCTTATAACTTTTAGGGGTCAAGGAAATAAAATGTCCCAAAGATAGAATTTTAGTTAGTATCTCCTATGACAGCCCTGTAACATTTATAGTAGTGAATCATCTAAGTGAAGTGTTTTGGGAATTTAAATGTGATACAAAACAAAAAAGATCATATTATCTGTTAATGAAATATCATAACCTCTAGAGTTTAGCAGGGCAGCCATCTGTCATTGGAACAATTAATAGAACCATTTTAGGAAGGGGAAAGATACACAAGAAAAAAGTACAAGGAGGATTGTGTCAGATAGAATGAAATATGGTTAGATCAAAATTTGGCTAGGGTCCTGGCGTGGTTAGCTGGCAACAGTGAGATTTATTCTTTATTACATTGGAAAGAAACATAAGAACATGCATTATTTTTCCCTCTTAGCATTAAAGTGGGGAGGTCAAATTTTACCGTATTGAAATATTCCATCCCAGAGCTGCTGAAGGCTTCTGCAATTTCTTTGGTTGTTACCACGCATGCCACTGGGTGGCCATTGCCCATTGGTTTTCCCATTGTGACGATGTCTGGAACGAAATCTTCACCAAACATTTGGAAGCTCCAGAAATGTGTCCCAACTCGGCCAAAGCCTACTTGAACTTCATCAGCTATAAACACACCTCCTGCTCCGTGTACATATCTGAAAAGCAAAAGGGCAGCCTGATGCCTTCAGGTCACTGAGAGTCCCCAAACCCTCCCATAAGATACAGACTATTGAAAACTTAAAAAATGTTGTTAACCTGAAGTCTGTAATCTTTGTTAAAAACATTTCAGTGTTCAAATCCCCAATGACATCTATGTGATATCATTGACTTTGAAACATAATCACATAATTTCCAGATTAGATATATTCTATATTGTTTGGGTTTGTACTACTTAAAGTAAGCTCTACTGCAGTTTTTTTTTTTTTTTTTTTTTTTTGCGGTACGCGGGCCTCTCACTGTTGTGGCCTCTCCCGTTGCGGAGCACAGGCTCCGGATGCGCAGGCTCAGCAGCCATGGCTCACAGGCCTAGCCGCTCTGCGGCATGTGGGATCTTCCCGGACCGGGGCACAAACCCACGTCCCCTGCATCGGCAGGCGGACTCTCAACCACTGTGCCACCAGGGAAGCCTACTGCATTATTTTAATAGGGAAGAAAAAGAAGTGAACAAGAAGTAGTGTTCAGCAGGTTTAATCGTCAAATTTTTACTAATTAGTAAAGCTTGGACACCAACTAATCAGAGAAGATGCCAGGTGGGTAGTGGGAGCACAGCTCTGGAGGCTGCCCTGCTGGACCTTGTGTAAACCCTTTATTTGCTGGATCTTGGGAAGGTGGAGGAGTTCCAGGAGTCCTGGGTGGCAGGCACTCCCAAGTGGCTATTTACCAGCTAGTCTGGAAGTATTTCAATATCTTAACAACCAGGATGGCCCTACAGAATTGTCACAGTGCCTTCAGTTTGACCAAGGATGCCCAAGTACATACTCTGCCACTTTCTGGAAGTAGCCTGCTGGAGGAATTATTTGTCCGCCACAACTCTGCATGGATTCAGCAATAAAGGCAGCAATCTATACAAGAGAAGATGGGGTCAAAGTCCATTAGGTCCTCCTCCCGTTACCCCCTAAAAAAAGAGGACTTCTTACGGAGAAGGTGACTTAAAAAATGGTTGGGAATGGACCCATGGCAAGAGACAAATTGGCCATTTGATTAAAAAGATGTCCACGCTGGAAATGCAAGAATTCTGAAGCATTGGTTTCTGAAATTTTAGGGTACCAATGAAACCATCACGAGAAAATGGTGGAGAGGGTGCCTTCCATTTCTCCATTATTAATTTAAATGCAGTGTTTACATTAGGAACAACTGAATAAGACTGATGCTTTGATTAGTCTTTAATATGAACCTCTAAAAATTTACCCAGGTTCCAAACACATCACTGGGGTGCCTGTTTGCTCAGCTTGGTAAATTAGGACTGCCCGAACCTGGAATTTGCACTAAGGAGATGAGAGGGTGACTGGTGGCCACGAACCTTAGTTATTGTGCTATATTTCTGGTTCTTGCCCTGAACCAGGCTTACAACTTAACAAAATTAGGCAGTTCACAAAGGAACTAAAGAGGATGTGTTCTAGAGGCTAAGAAAAGAGAAGTAAAAACAGGTAAAACTAAATTAAGAGAAAGCATAGAAATAGTATGAGATAAGAAGTCAAGCAATCAACTATACTTCAATTAAGAAAAAAAAGGGGGGGAACTAACGTTCTAGTCCAGACTACGTCTTTTAAGATATGAAAAATGAATGGGAAGAAAAGAAGAAATAGTTAAGAAAGGCAAATGACTTTCCAGTCATTAAGATAAAAATACTTGAACTGGAAAACACACAGGCTTCATTTTTATCTCAGTTAAAACGCTTTTTTTATTGCCATGTTGATGCCATAAGCCAATTGAAAGGCAAAGCATGTGTCAAATCATGTAAGTAACTCCATGTAAGTAACCCCTGAAGGGGCTGAGAATTACCGTTAAGCTAAAGACAGTAGGGTGAAGACTGAGAAAATGGAAACTCTTTTTTTCCTAGTTGGGAGGATTCTGGTTTGTTTTAGAAGTTCAGACCCAAATTGGAAGAACATGTTCCTGCCTTGTCTTACGCAGGCTCTTTGGTTTCAGGAAAGTTGACCCAGTTCTAGGGAAGAGCCAAGGCTTCCCTGGTCCAGGAGTCTGCAGTGGCCCCAAGGCCCCAGGGCCACCCTGCCTCTTCCCTCCCTTCACCTTATATTAGCCCCTCGTGCTATTCTCAGTTGGAATGTTCTGTCCGTGAGCTATCACCTTTCTTAATTTTCTCCTCCTATCACTTTGGACCAGAGTCTGCATCCCAGTGGGAAAGTCAGAATTAGCCCACCAGTTCTGAAACAGGTATAGTAATTACGTTTCCAGGATAAATAAAAATAGTCTTAGAGGCATGACTATAATAATGTACTTTTTGAAATATGAACTAAGTAAAAACGTAACTAGAGAAGAACAGAAAGCGATTTGAGATCTAATCCTTTCCCACCTCTCCAGTGTAACACAATGATTTCAATCTATTTTATAAAAGATATTAAAGTGTTTCCAAAGCTATAAATACAAACCTTCCTTCCACTGTTATGAGCTTCATCAATAATTTTCTTCACTTCGTCGGCGTAAGCACTGGCCGGGTCTGTATGGTCTTCTCTGTATTTTCCTCTGTAAGTATCTGGAGCTGGTGCCTGAAAACATCAAAAGATAACAGTTTCTCATGATTTGTCTCCTGGACAAATGAGCTTTTAAGAAAGGGCCTTTCCCTCCAGGAGCATAATATTGTAGAAAGGTGACTCGTGGACTAAGTGACTCTAGGTTCTTTTGCTCTTTTTCCTTAACATTTCTGAATTCTGTGAGACTTGAAATCTTTGCACTGTGAACAGGAACTTGGATTTGCTCCTAGGCCCTTAGAAGTCAAGATTGCATCCCTAGTCACATAAGGGACAAATTCAAACAACAAGTGTGATTATGTTATTTGAAAATTTCAATGAATGGAAACTGTATTAACAATTCTATATTGAAAATAAACCAACACTTACCAACGATATAGCAAACTGTAATCATTCAGAAAACTAGAATGCCTGAGCGCTAATTTCAGATCTTAAAATTTTGAAAGAATGTATTAATGATTCTCTTAAAAAAGTCTACTGAACCTTAATTAAGCCAAATGAGTTTTACTGTTTCAACAGCTTGGTTTCTTTATTTTCTTTATTAAATGATATTTATTTTACTTAATAAATTTACATAATAATTTAGCATAGAGTAATTTTAAGACAGTCATACACACTTCATGCAACTCTGAGTTTCAAATAGCCTTCAGCGATAGAAAAAGTAATTTAAACATCAAGGGGCAAGAAAAATAAAATGAGAGCTGTGAATAAGAGCTATCACTACCTCTATACTAATTTTTATGGTACTCATCAATGAATTTTTTTTTTTTTTCTTTGCGGTACGCGGGCCTCTCACTGTTGTGGCCTCTCCCATTGCGGAGCACAGGCTCCGGATGCGCAGGCCCAGCAGCCATGGCTCACGGGCCCAGCCACTCCACGGCATGTGGGATCTTCCCAGACCGGGGCACAAACCCGTGTCCCCTGCATCGGCAGGCGGACTCTCAACCACTGCGCCACCAGGGAAGCCCCAGTACTCATCAATGGATTTTAAACCACATCTTGTCATTAACTAGCTCTTTGACTTTAGCAAACAGATCTTTGCTAAAGATCTGTAACTGCTATAGATCTTAGTTTCCTTTTTCATGTTTTCATTTCAATGCAAGGATTGGACTGGGTTATCACTGGGCACTCTTCCAGTAGTAACATTCTGATTCTTGGATTCCAAGATACTTACCACATGCACAAATTCTTTCTTGACATCTTTGCCCTTTTGAAATTTATATGGACTGATCTCAATTAAAGATGATAGGTGACCATGGTAAGCACTGAAAAGAAAAAGGACGGTAACCAAAATCACTCAAAGAAGGACGCTTTTCTAGTATATGAAAAATAGTACTGCACATCATCCAGGGAGAATCTCAACATTGGTGCCAGATTTAACTATACGGAATCTAATTTTTCATGGTAGGACTGGCCATTAATTTGTCCCACTCTCCTGATCCAGGTAATAAAACATATAAAGCCAAGTATGTAACCTCATAGACAGTTATTTTTAGCAGGAAAAAACTTAATTTCTTTGGATTGCATTAGCTCTGCTAAATTAGATTATCTAAATGTAAAACATTAATTTCTATAGCTTCATGAGAAATTTCAGATGTATGTATTCTTTAAATGTATTTGATAGTTACATTCTAGTAAATTTTAAAAACAACTTTATATCACAGAATGGGCTGTGTTTCTGTCTGGGATGGTTTCAAAGGGATATCCAATTGCTCAAATGAAAGTTGGTAAGGAACAGGAGGTCTTTTCTAAGAGAACTAAGATTAAGAGGTAATCAAGTGGCTATGAAATTCCTTTCTTTCACTTAAAATACAGATGGCTATGATATTCCCTTTTATGTTTCTTGCCCAGAGCTATATAATTGGGAGGCCTGGAAAAGAAATTATAAAAGGCCCATGAATAGATAAAGCAAACAGGGAGGACTTCCCCTACCGTAGATTAAAACATGCTACAAAGCCATAGTAATGAAATTAGTATGGTATTGGAATAAGAACAAAGTCACGACTGGGACAGAAGTGAGCTCAGAGACACAGCCATACATAAATGGTAACACAGCGGCCTCTTGGTGGAGTCAATATGAAGAGCAGTTATAGAGGTAGTAGAAGAAAATAAAGAAGAGCATCTTTGTGATCTGAGGGGTGGGGATGGGTGTGTGGGGGGGGAGAGATATTAACAAAACTTAGAAAACCAAACCATAGGATGAAAATGTCAACTATTTGATTTAATCAAATTTTTGGAGGTTGGACGATACCATGGACAAAGTTAAAAGACAGATGATAGATTGGGAAAAAACATTTGAAATGTCTCAAACTAAAAGAGATTAATGTTCAAATGGTGGTTCTTAAGTCTATCTGCATATTAGCATCACTTGGGAAACTTTAAAATCTATACCGTTTCCTGGAATCCACCTCTAGAGATTCTCCCTCACTCTCTTTTTTTTTTTTCTTCTTTTTTTTTGCGGTACGCGGGCCTCTCACTGCTGTGGGCTCTCCCATTGCGGAGCACAGGCTCCGGACGCGCAGGCTCAGCGGCCATGGCTCACGGGCCCAGCCACTCCGCGGCATGTGGGATCTTCCCGGACCGGGGCACGAATCCGCGTCCCCTGCATCGGCAGGCGGACTCTCAACCACTGCGCCACCAGGGAAGCCCTCTCTCTTTTTTTAATTTTTAAATTTTTTTGGCTGAGCCGTGCTGCATGCAGGATCTTAGTTCCCCGACCAGGAATCAAACCAGCAACCCCTGCGTTGAGAACTCAGAGTCTTAACCACTGGACTGCCAGAGAAGTCCCTAGAGATTCACTTTAATTGGTCTGGAGTGGGACCTGGGCGCTGGCATTAAGAAAAGAAAATTTCCCCAGGTAATTCTAAAACACAGTCAAGGCTGAGATCCTCTCATCTAAACTATGCATGCAAAAGCAAGGATGGAAATCCCAACAGAAAAATGGGCAAAGAATATAAACAGGTAATTCTCAGAAAGGAAGTCACAAATGCATAATAAGCATATGAATAGATACTCAAACTCATAATTAGAAATTGCAAATAAAAACAACACTGATAGGGACTTTCCTGGTGGCACAGTGGTTGAGGGTCTGCCTGCCAGTGCGGGGAACACGGGATCAATCCCTGGTCTGGGAGGATCCCACATGCCGCAGAGCAACTAGGCCCGTGTGCCACAACTACTGAGCCTGTGCTCCAGAGCCCAAGCCACAACTACTGAAGCCTGCATGCCTAAAGCCCGTGCTCTGCAACAAAGAGAAGCCACCGCAATGAGAAGCCCTCGCACTGCAGTGGGGAGTCGCCCCCACTTGCTGCAACTGGAGAGGGCCTGGGCGCAGCACCGAGGACCCAGCGCAGCCAAGAATAAACAAACAAACAAATAAGTAAATTTATGAAAAGGGAAAAAAAATCCTGAAAATTAAAAAAAACCCCCAACAACCCTGATATCATTTTATACCTATTAGATGGCAAAAATTAAGAAAAAAATAACAAGGTAGGATATTCTTAGTTTTTGGTGAGGATATGTGAAAATTGGACATTTCACGCACTGGGTAGAGCGTGCAACCACTTTGGAGACTGATCTGGCAGGATTTGGTCACATCAACAATGTTTACCGTACCCTGTACCCCTATGGCCTAGCAATCTTTTTTCTGGGTGCTTTATCCCCAAGAAATTCTCAGAAAGGTCCATAAAGGCACATGTACAAGGGCACTCATTGCAGTGTTGTTTGTGGTAGCTGGGAGTAAAGGGCAGTCACAGTATCTATTCTGTGGCAGGCAGGCTGAATCACACCTCCCCTCCCTAAAGATGCCCATGTCCTAAGCCTCAGAACCTAAGAATGTTACATGGTAAAGGGGACCTTGCAGATGTGATTAAATTAAGGATCATGAAATGGAGCGATAATCCTGGAGGGTCAAATGTTATCACAAGAACTTTTATAAGTGAAAGAAGGCAGCAGGAGGATGGTGGTTAGAGATAGATGAGGTGATGTGAGGATGGAAGCAGAGGCTGGAGTGATATAATGTCTGGCTCTGAAGATGAAGGAGGGGACCACAAGCCAAGGAATGCAGGCAGCCTCTAGAAGGTGGAGGCAAGGAAACAGATTCTTCCCTAGTGTCTTCAGAAGGAGTGCAGCCCTGTTGAACCTTGATTTTAGCCCAGTGAGACCCATTTTGGACATATGACCTCTAGAACTATAAGAGAATATATTTATGTTGCTTAAGCCACTATGTTTACGATAATGTGCTATAGCAACAATAGAAAATGAATACACCAACCAACACATAAAACAAGGGAAGCCTATAGAAGTGTAAGAAATGAGGTGCATGTTCAATTCAACCCTTTGTGTCTGAGATTAGTGGGGTGGAGAGGTAGAAAAAAATTTTAAATCTCACTGAAGATGGAAGTTATCAAATTTCTTGTTTAAAATATAATGAATTCATTTTTGAGAAGTAAAACTAAATAGTGACTATTAAAAATCACAAATTAATGAGAAAGAACTATTTTTACTTGGCTATCTGTTGTCTTTAAAATTTGCTCTAGGGAATTCCCTGGCGGTCCAGTGGTTAGGACTCCACACTCTCACTGCCAAGGGCCCGGGTTCAATCCCTGGTCGAGGAACTAAGATCCCATGAGCTGCATGGTGTGGCCAAAAAAAGAAAAAAATATATGCTCTAAATTGTTATCTTTTAAATTAATTAGGTGAATAATCACAATTGTGACATGAATGCTTGGATTTTTAAGAAATTATATTTTTATTCTGAAAAAGATGGAGTTACACACATTGCAGTGGCTCAATTCACAGTTAAATGCGTGAAAAGTAAACCCTGATTCATGTAAAGCCCATGAGACCATGACCACAGCACCCAAAAGAGCCTCCAAGTACTTGGAAGGAATTAAGTGTCCTTCAGGCCTGAGCTGGCCTTGAAACCTATACATAACAAAAAAGAAAATCCTTGTGCCATATATCCAGCCTCCTCCATACATGCTTATGGTATTAGTATGGAGAGGATCAATATAATTTTGTCTCTGAAGGCATTTCCTGCTTAGAAGTCTTGTGTTCAAGACTTACTGGTCAAGAGTGATCACGTCTCGGTGGCCTCTGAACTGCCGAGCCAGGCGTAAGGCTAAGTCATTGGCTTCAGATCTATTAAGAGAGCAGAGAGAGAAGGGACAATGTGACATAAGCCCTTTTAAAAATCTTTCGAACCATTATTTACAAAGTTGAGGATTCCAAAATCTGTTTAACTTCGAGATTATTCTTTGTGCTACCCCAGGTTCTGTCGCCTCCAGTCTTTGGTGACACTGCTCTGTCTCTAAGGCTAATCACTCTTTGGCAGTATAGGATTCTTCATAAGTGAAAGTCAAATATTATATTTAATTTATTGAAGGCAAGAATGCCTTAGAACAACAAATTAGATCCGAAAATGTCCTAATTCTTTACAAAGAAAAAAGAAAAATCTTCTGGTTATAAACCAATCTTCTGGTTATTTGATTTTAAGGTATCTCACTGAAAAGAGAAAATGAGTCACAGAATCATAATAGAACATTCACAGGATTTCTAATAGTTTTAACTCATATATATCATTTTAAATTTATGCTGTATAGATGGATTTCCTCCCACTATAACATTGTACAGGTGATCTTTTCTCCTGTCATTAAACATGTATTTTCAAAAACATACTTTTTAATGTCTGTATAATATTCCATAGAATGGACATATCTATTCACTTGAATTGACTCATTCCTCCTTTGTGTTTGTGTCGGGGAAATGCTTACTGCCTAAGGAAACAAATCAATCAAAAATCTTATAATACTTATATAACTTGTTTAGTAGAGTTCTTTTTTTGCCAAAATTCCTTATTCACGCTTTGAAAGAACTATCTAGGTTCATCTAGATTCTTTAGCTACTTACTCTATTGCCCAAAGAAGTGGGTGCCATTTGACTAGTTAGGTTTTCTCACATGAACACCAGACTTGGATATTTTTGCCAATATTTTGTTACAACCCAAGTATCCATCCTTTAGGGATACTTAAGGGTATGCTTTCCCCATCTTTCACCAAGGAAGCTGTGGTAATAAAAAGCTGAGTGGCATGCACTTGTTAATCATGGGACTGTTGTTATAGGCTGTGTCAGGAGTCCTGGAACATGCTGTCAGGTATCTTATCTACAAAGGGCTGGTGGGTCAAAGCAAAAGAACCAGAATGGTCAGGTCCCCCATGTGGGGTCATTAGTAAACGGCAAGAATCTCAGGAAACCTTTTTAGATATTTGTACTCCACCAGCAATCAAACAGAAAAGAGAGGAAACAAAGAGATTGGTGGGAATGGGGATGGGTGGAAAACCTCAGAACATACCCTGAATTTGTAAAATAGCACACAGAGAGTCTGTCCGGCAGGGTTGCTGACAGGCGCTTGGCATACTCAACAATGTTGTCGTGGAGGAATCGAGAATTTGTATTTAGTAGTTCCATCTGTTTCTGGGCAGCTTTGACCACTTCTGGGTGGCAGTGTCCCACTAAAATTTAGAAGACAAAAGTCCCAAAAATGAGTTACAAATCTAAATGCCTGGGAAGTGAGGGGCATTCTGAAACAAGCAAAAAAAAAAGGTTGATTCTGTTCCTCTCCCACATTTTGTTCTAGCTTTTCCCCGCCTAGGACTACTGGCCCTGTTCGGCCGAGGAACTGCAGCCACTGCAATTCTTGGGACAAATATCAACGGTGCCAAGTCTGCCTTACTCCAGAAACATATCCTTCAAGGCACGACAAAGACAACACATTACCATGGGCTACGTTGTTGATGCAATCCAAGTACTGTTCACCTTTCTCGTCAAACATGTACTGCCCCTGGGCTCGCACTATTTTGATGGGATCCGCAGCAAAGAAAACTTTGCAGGAGGGCCTAGAAATAATGAAAGGAAACACTTTGGTCTGGTAGGACTGCTCAGTGTTTTTCCTTCTCAATGAAGGTCATGATCAGTGGAAAATTACAATTACGTAAAAGAAAGGGAAAACACAACCTGGGTGACATTTTTTTTTTTTTTTTTTTCATTTTAGCCTGGGACCTTTTACCTTAATCCCCCATCCGTGATACTGCTCACATTTCTTATGCTTGTTATATTAAATTTGCCATGATCTGACAACTCTATTTAGAAGCACAAGGATCACCTCTGACAGCTCTAATTACACAAACCAATAACTAATTTTCCTTTGAGAAACTTTGTTCAACCAGGAAAAAAAAACAAACTTTTTTTTTTTTGAGCCTTCCTATGGGTCAGGAACTGACAGCTATTACAAATATTATCTCATTTAATCCTCCCAACAATAATATGAGTTATTATCATTCTCATTTTTATAGTTGAGGAAACAGACACCGAAAAATTAAGAAGCTTGGTTCAAGGTTACACAGCCAGTGAGAAAACCAGAACTTGAAAGTAGACTGTCTTGATCGTAACTAGATTTATCATGGTGAACATTTTGAAATGTACAGAAATATTGAATCACTACGTTGTGTAATAGTTACTAACATAGTGTTGTAGGTCAATTATACGTCAAAAATAAACTCATAGAAAAACTCATACTAGGGATATAATTTATATGTACAACATGATAAAGATAATTAACACTGCTGTATGCTATACACGAAAGTTGTTAAGAAAGCAAATCCTAAGAGTTCTCATCACAAGGTAAAAAATTTTTTTTTCGATTTCTTTAATTTTGTATCAATATGAAATGGATATTCACTAAACTTATTGGGATAATGATTTCATAATGTAAGTCAAATCATTATGCTGTGCAACTCAAACTTATACAGTGCTGTATGTCAATTATATATCAATAAAATTGGAAGAAAAAAAAAAAGGTAGACTGTCTTATGCCATAGCCCAAAACAGGGCTTGCTTGCTAATCTAATCTCTCCCTCTAATCTAATCTGTACAGAAATGAATAGCACTAAAAGCTAAATACAAATAATTTAGTGTTAAATACTATGCAGGAGATTTTACAGATCATTTTCATGTCTTTTGATTGGTATCTGTCCTGCATCAAATGGATTTCCCTTTCTTAAATAATAAAATCCAATTATTATTGTAACCCTTTAACCCACTCTTTTCAGCATAATAAAAAGTCATCCATATTTTTGGTTATTTGGATGGCTGCCTGGAGTACAGATTTTAGCAACATAGAAACATCACAAAGATTTCTGAATTTGGTTCTATGGACATTTAGAAACTGAAACAAAATATTATTTTTATTTTGGTGATTTTGCATGCACAAAAAAATACCACATGCATTGGAGGTAGTTTAGAGGGTAATTAGATACATATTAAATGGATATGCAGCTGTTTAGAAAGTATTGTGATTATTGTGAATAGGTAATTAAATTTTAAAATTGCCTAAGATTAAGATGAAACTAATATTTAATGAGAATTTCTTCTTGGTTCAAATTCAGCTGTTAGTTTATACCTACAAGTTAAAATTCGGAAAAACCCTTCGTTGTGAATGTGGGCTGAAAACTTCGGACTTCACCTTGCCTCCTTGTTAATGTACTTCCCATCTTCTCACTCAGATTTCAGGTGAAATTCTTTCTCAGTCATTCCATGGCTACCATTCCTCCTTTCACAGACTTTGTTCTGCTCACGTCAGAAATCATTAGGTTTTCATTGGAATCTAACTATATAGGATTGAAAACTAACAGAAAGGAGTGCTGATTAGAAAAAGGGAAGAAGGTGATCTGGTAACGAGGTATCTGACTATTTTGATCCTATTGCGGGGGTTGAGAGAGATTTAACTAGTCTCCTAAACCACCTAGAAAACTCCTGGGTTGAGATCAGATCAAATCTCAAATCAGATCACAAGGTAACTTGACACTACTAGGACCAGAGCCCAGGTCTGACCTAAGGTTCGGTCCTGTACGCTCACCAAGTCGTCTATAGCACGAGTAAAACAAAAGTAGACCGGAGAAAACACTGCATCTTTAAATTGTAATGAGGGCACAGCTGGGGAGACCAAGGTGAGTAAGTGGTATCTTACTCTTAAGAAAGTGGTTTCAAAGTTTTTTTACTGGCTGGATTAACCTTTTACTTCTTAACCAAGCGTGCAAGAAGAAAAATTTCACTTTAAACAAAAGTTGTCATAATGAGTTTTCATTGCCATCGTCAAAAATATTTCGGAGTTCAGTTTTCTGAAACTTTCGAGGTGGTGGGAGCGGCGGAGAGCTACCCGTCTCCCTCCCAGAGCCCATCGCTGGAACGGTGTTCTACTTCAATGGCTCTCAACCTTCACGGTCAATTCCCCCAGCCGGCCGGCCGGGCTGCAGAGCGCGGGGACCGCTCTGGAGCCGGCTGGGCGGCAGCCCCCTCGGGCGGAGGCGAGGCGGGGCGCTCCGGGCGGGCGGGGGCGCGCGTGCGCAGGTGCGGCGGGCGGGTGGCCGTCCCGCACCCCGCCGGCAGCAGCCCGCCGGTCCGCTCCCTGCCCGGCTGCGGCTCTCCGCCCCCCGTTCCGGTGGTTCCCCCTCTCTGCGCCTTTCCTCGGGGCTGGGGAGCGCTCACGCGATGTGCTTCCTCCTCAGCGCCAGGGTGTCTTGCTTGCTGTATAGCTCGCACATGCTGGCGGGGTGCCGGGCGCTCCCAGGGGCCTCCCCTCTCCGGTCCGTTCGCCTCCCTCGCGAGCCCGCGGGACTGTCTCAGCGGTGGCCCTTTTCTCTTGTTTTCCCGAGTTGGGTCCCCTTGCCCCGGGCGTCGGAGGTCAAAGGCGGCACCAACTAGCCAGGGTCATCTCCCTTTTAAGTCTTGCCCAGCCTTTGCCCTTCGCCAAGCCCCACCCTCACCCTCCTCCTCCGCCTGGTGCCTGCCTGGCAAGTGGCTGGACTAGCCACTGAGTCGCCACCCACCCCAGCCCCCCGCCCCCGGGCTAACTGGCTCCTGTTCCTGCCCTGCTGCCCACTTCGCCTCCCCACCCCTGTTACTTCTCCTAACTCGCCTTTTATTTCCTTAAATTTGCCTTGCTATGGCCTTTCTTCCTCCTCTGCCTGTGAATTCCTCCTTCCCACTTTCTCTCTCTCCCTTTCTTTTTCTTTCTTTCTCTCTTTCTTTCTTTTTCTTTCTTTCTTTCTTTCTTTCTTCCTTCCTTCCTTCCTTTCCTTTCTTTCTCCCTTCCTTCCTTCATTCCTTCCTTCCTTTCTTTCTTTCTCTCCCTTTCTTCCTTTCTTTCTTTCTTCCTTCCTTCTGTTCCTTTCTTTCTTTCTCTCTCCCTTCCTTCCTTCATTCCTTCCTTCCTTTCTTTCTCTCCCTTTCTTTCTTCTTTTCTTTCTTTCTTTCTTTCTTCCTTCCTTCCTTCCTTCCTTCCTTCCTTCCTTTCCTTTCTTTCTCTCTCTCTTCCTTCCTTCCTTCCTTCCCTCTTTCTTTCTCCCATTATTTTCTTGTAAACATTCAAAGAGAGGCGCTCTCTGGAGACATCAGGAGGTTCATCTCCATTCTCGTTTTGAGCATATTCCAATACCATAATCTACTCAACAAAAGTAACAAGTCTTATGCCCTAAGGATAAGTAACAGGGACTCAGCCTGTTATTTGTTGGGAGGGAAAATATATACCGTGTTTCAGACACCTGCTTTAACAATAATTGCACTTCTAATTTCTCTGAAACTATACAGATTACAAAACATTCACTTGACTTATCTGGTTCAGTCCTCAAAACAGCCGTGTGGGAGATGAGCCTGAGAGTTACCATCCCCTTTAACACACGGGGACAGTGATTGCAGATCTACCTGATGGTGAACTTGGAATTCATTCCTAGGTTTCTTGACTCCTTTAGGATGATCTTCTCACACTGATCAAATTTGAAGTTAAGCATGTGGACAGAAGGAAACCTAATTAACTATAACGTTAAATCATAAATTATTTGACGAAGTAGAGATCATCTGGTTTAACCCCTCTGTTTTGTAGATAAGAACAGCTAGGTACAGGAAAGGTAAAATCTCGCTCAGGGTCACGCAACTACTTAGCCATAGAGTTTAGATGAGATCATTTCATTCCTTGTGTTTTGAAAGACAGCAGAGAAAGCCTGATTTACCCATAAGAACACACTTGCTAAATGTTTGTAACTGACCTTTTTCTTGAATAAAGTTGTTTTTAATTAATATTAATGCCCTGCAGGAGTAGTAGAATAACATTGCCTAAGACAGGTTGAGAAATGGAGTTCTATGATGAACAGCGTGTTAAGAATTCTAACTGTTATCAGTGAAGGGCAGAAGGCACTTAGGAAACTTGCAACAAATCCCAATCACGTAACCTTGGTCTAGTTCCATACTTGAAAGAAGTGTACACCTGCTCTCAAACCACCTAGACCTGGTGAAGTCACAGACAGTCATGCTCCCTCCGTAAACCTCCATGGTCCCTTGTTATTTCCAGTGCTTTAAAGTATGTTCTTTAAATAATGCTGGACTAAAGGTCTTGGTTTCTTGAGCTGGTTCTTCCATAAACTAGCTGGGTTTCTTGATCTTTTGGAGGCCAAACTTCTTTAAAATGTTCAAATTTTGTGTTAAAAAGAAACCCCAATCATTCTCTGACTAACAACATTATAAGGAAGGCTAAAAAGAGACCATGACTGTGGAATGAGTGTCAGGATTATTAAGATCTCATTGCTCTTGTCTTCTTTGTTCTTTTATTATTTTTTAACCAGAACTTTCAGTAGGGTTGACTACTCCTTTCTCCTTGAAACGCTTCCCCTTTTGATTTCTTGACATGACCACACTTTCTTGATTTTCTTTTTCTCTCACTCAACATTCTCAACATTTAACTTGGTATCTCTGCAAGTAGGATCCTAGGCTTTTCCTTTTCTCTTGTACTCTTTCCCAAGGCAACCCAGAAATAATTCCCTTGGATTCAGAACCCATCAAGATGCCAAAATTATACCTCTACCTAGATTTCTCTTCTCAGTCCCAGATTCTCATCTCCACTTCCTTTCTTGACATCTCCACTGTGAGGTTTTGTAGACACCTCATACCTAACGAGTCCAAAATGGAAGCTTTGAACCCACTCCCAAAACTACAGCTTCCAATAAACCCCCCATCGCCAGGCATTTATTTATTCATTCAAAACATATCAAATTCTCAGTGTGCCACTGAACGTTTCAGTTGCTGGAGAGAAACAGTGAACTAGACTGAATGTGCCTGCCTTCAGTGGCGCTTGCTCCAGATCTGCACTGTCCAGTACATAGCCACTAGCCACAGGCGATTATTAAGGACTTGAAATGTGACTAGTCGGAACTGAGGTGCACTGTCAGTGTAAAATACACACTGTATTTTGAAGACTCAGTACAAAAAGAACAGTAAGATCTCTCATTATTTTTTTTTACAAATTTACTTTACTTATTTATTTTTGGCTGCGCTGTGTCTTCGTTGCTGCGCCCGGGCTTTCTCTAGTTGCGGCGAGCGGGGGCTACTCTTCATTGCAGTGTGTGGGGTTCTCATTGCAATGGCTTCTCTTATTGCAGATCATGGGCTGTAGGCGCATGGGCTTCAGTAGTTGTGGCTCATGGGCTCTAGAGCACGGGCTCTAAAGCGCAGGCTCAGTAGTTGTGGCACACGGACTTAGTTTGCTCTGCAGCATGTGGGATCTTCCTGGACCAGGACTCGAACCCATGTCCCATGCATTGGCAGGCGGATTCTTAACCAGTGTGCCACCAGGGAAGCCCCTCCCATTATTTCTTATTTTATTTGCTTATTGAAATAATATTATGGATATATCGGTTTAAGTAAAATATATCATGAAAACTAATTTCACATCTTTTTTAATGTGACTACTAGCAAATTTTAAATTACCTATGTGTTTTGCATTACTTTTTAAAAAATTTTAAGTGGAAGTAGAGTTGATTTACAAATCTGTGTTAATTTCAGTTGTACAGCAAAGTGATTCAGTTATACATATATATATTCTTTATATATATATCTATATATTCTTTTTCAGATTCTTTTCCATTATAGGTTATTACAAAATATTGAGTATAGTTCCCTGTGCTATGCAGTTGGTCCTTGTTGGTTATCTCTTTTATATATAGTAGTGTGTATATGTTAATCCGAAACTCCTAATTTATCCCTCCCCCCCTTTCCCCTTTGGTAACCATGAGTTTGTTTTCTATGTCTGTGGGTCTATTTACTTCTGTTTTGTGTATAATTTCATTTGCATCTTTTTTTTAACATATAAGTGATATCATATGATATTTGTCTTTTTCTTTCCAGCTTATTTCATTTAATATGATGAGCTCTATGTCCATCCCTCTTGCTGCAAATGGCATTATTTCATTTTTTTTAAGGCTGAGTTATATTCCATTGTATATATGTACCACATCTTCTTTATCCTTTCATCTGTCAGTGGACATTTAGGTTGCTTCCATGTCTTGGCTATTGTAAATAGTGTTGCTGTAAACACTGGGGTGCATGTATCTTCTTGAATTATGGTTTTCTTTGAATATATGCCCAGGAGTGGGATTACTGGATCATGCATTACTTTTCAATTTGACAGCATTATTCTTGATGGACAGAGTAAACAACTAAACAAATAAAATAACAAGATAATGGCTTAAGTTGCTTTAATTGTGGTAAGTGACTTGAAGGAAATAAACTGAGGGAAATGATCCTCAGCCAGAAGCCTGGGAGTCCTGGATAATTTTTTTCTCAATTCCATCCCCATGTCAAATTATTTTTAAGTCCTGTTGCCTCCACTTCAAAATACATTGTAAATCTATGTGCTATCACCCTATCAACTACCACCCTCTGTAAGCCTTCTGCATCTTGCAAGACTATGCAAATATGCTCTGTTAACTCATTTCCTTGCTTCCCCTTCCCATCCTATGCAGCGAGATCATGTTCCTTTCCTCCTTAAAACCCATCAATGTCTTCCAGCGTTCTTCTCCAGGCTCATTTTGGACACCCTCCACCACCGAACACACACACCACACCCGTCTCCCTTGTCCTTCATCACTTCAAAGACTGCATTTGCTTCAGTTTCAGTTTAAACATCAGTTTAAACAGTCAGCCTCAGAGAGGTCATTCTTGACTATTCTGTCTCAAATAGTTCTTAATGAATTAAAAAAACTAATCTCTCCCCTGTTCCTCTGTCTTAATTTCCTCTTTGGTCTTTATCTATCTTGTTCATCATTGTACCCCAGCACTAGCACAGCCCTTGGCATATGGTAGACTGATAAATATTTGTTGACGGACTGACTGAAAGGGAAAATCCATTTAAAGACTCAGTACCTTGTTTTGAAGATGAAAGTTCTTACAGCCATTTAGCCCTTGTGTGTTGACTGCCAACTTAACATTTTTAACTATTTCTTTAGGTGAGAGATATTTAGACTCATTATCTTTTATGGGAAAGCAAGTTAACTGTTACATAAAAGATCATTTCCCCACTGTTTAACTTATTTCACAATGTGGAATATATAATATTAACTAAGTACCACGAATGGTCTTTAAATAAAAGACAGACACATAATAGCACCAAAATAAAGATGGATAAAGTCAACAGATCACCCTATGAAATACTTTGTCAAAAAACAAAGGTATTCTTGATATATTTTCTCATGTGCTTCTCCATCCTATGACTATTTGGTAGGAGTGG